TATATTTATTTGCTTCTTTAATTTCATCCTCTGAGAAGCGTGTGTTCATCTCAGATGCCCATTTTGGACTGGCTCTTTAAATTTTTGGGCCCTAGTGTTTTTCAGTTCTTTATAAATTCTAGAGAGCAGTCCTTTGTCTGAGTACTTATTTGTCATGATTTTTTCCAAATTTGTGGGTTGTCTTTTCACTTTGTTAGTAAGTTCTTTGACGTGAAAAAAACTTCTCAATAAGAGCAGGCCCCAGTTGTTAATTCTTTCAAGTGTTTCCTGTGCAATTTGATTTTTGTTCATAAACTCTTTGCCCACCTCTATGTCTTCAAGAGTTCCTCCTACTTTCTCTTCTGGGAGATTTAGTGTTTCTGTTTTAATGTTTAGATCTTTAATCCATTTTGACTTTAATTTAGTGCATGGTGATAGACCTGGGTCAAGTTTGAATTTTTGGCATGTAGAGAGCCAGTTTTTCCAGCACCATTTGTTAAACAGGCTATCTTTCTTCTAGTGAGTATGTTTGGCCCCATTGTCAAAGATAAGGTGGCTCAGTGTGTTCATAGGGTATTGTAATCTCTTCCATTGATCCTTAGCTCTATTTTGTTGCCAGTACCATGCTGATTTTATCACAGTATCCTTGTAGTATAATTTCAAGTCAGGAATTGTAATATCTCCTGCCTTGTTTTTATTGCCCAGGGTTGCCTTTGCTAGTCTAGGTCTTTTCTGTTTCCAAATAAATTTTAGGAATGATTTCTCTAGGTCTGCGAGGTATGTCACTAGTTGTTTGATAGAGATTGCATTAAGTCTGTACAGCAATTTTGGGAGTATGACCATCTTCACAATGTTGCTTCCTCCTATCCAGGAGAATGGAATATCTTTCCATTTTTTGAAATCCTCTATGATCTCTTTTTTCAGAGCAATGTATTTTTCCTTGAAAAGCTCTTTGACTTCTTTAGTTAGATTAATTCCAAGGTATTTCATTTTCCTCGATGCTATTGTAAAAGGTATTGTTTCTATAATTTCCTAATCAGTGTGTTTGCTATCTGTGTAGAGGAATGCTATTGACTTTTGGGTACTGACTTTGTATCCTGCTATGCTACTGAATTTCTGTATTAATTCTAATAGCTTCTTGTACCCCCTGGTCTCTTTTTAGAGATTTTTTTTGCACATTGAACAATGAAAGTGTCCTGGGTTATGGCTAGCATTAGTATTTCTGCTTTTCTTATCTGTTAATGAGTTGCCATATGGTGTCAATCGGAGAAATTTCCCCATGAGTAATGCAGCAAGGCAAGGTGAGGGTAATGTTTGGAGGTGGATTGGGCAAGAGGTGTGTCTCAGGTGAAAGCTGTCGGGTCAGAAGGGGACGCCATCAGCTGCTGGTGGAGATGCAGTGAGCAGAGGGCATGTAGTGGGTCCATGGCTCCTTTCTGAGCTCTCTAGGCTGAGATCTGAGACCCATGGCTCACACTCTGTTTATTTGTCCTCTTTTCCTTGGGTGACTCAGCTTTGTGCTATTGTAACAAAACTCATGAAAATTAACTTGAAGGAGAAGAGTGGCTCCTTGGTGTGGCTCCTTGGACAGCTGCCCTCTACTTGGGGCCTGTTCAGGGGCAGAGCACTGTGGCAACAGTGTGTGGCTGAGGGCACTGTCCGTGAGAGGACAAAGAAATTAGAGTCCCACATTCCACCACCCCATGGCATCCCTCAGGGGATGAGGCTTTAAGGATAGCCCTGATCCTGAGATCTGCAGCATCCCTCCCTACCACCCACTTTCCTGCTGCACTGCAGAAGATCTCTTTTACCTGGGCATCTCTGCCCATACTGTTCCCTCTTTTCTTCATTGCTTCACTTTTGCCCCTTTGCAAAGTGAATTTCTATGGATCTCTTTCTTGTCTTTCTATTGTGTTCCATTGATTTATTTGTCTGTTCTCTCATCAATACCATACCATCTTGATTACCAAAATTAATGATGTCTTACAGTTCAGTAATATCAGTCCTCTGGCTTTTTTTATTTTCTAATATTGTCCTGGCTATTCCTCTCCTATTCCATATAAACTTTAGAATCATTTTGGCATTATCCACAAAGTAAATTGCTAGAAACTTTTGCCAATATTGAATCTTGCTATCCATGAGCAAGGAATAGCTCATAATTTAGTTCTTTATTTTTATCAAAGTTTTATGGTTTTCATCAAATAGATCTTGTACAGATTTTGTAAATTTATGTCTAGAAAATATTTCATTATTGATGTGCTAACATAAGTGATACATTTTTAAATTTATAATTCTACTTGTTAATTCCAGTATATAGGAAAATTATGGGGTATTTTTATTAGTCTTTTATTTTAAGTCTCTGCTGGAATATTTCTTGAGTTTCAATTAATTCTTTTGGATTTCCTCATGATGACCACACATCTGTGAAGATTTGCAGTTCTAATCTTTCTTCCCAAGTCATGTGCCTTCCATTTCCTTTTTCTGCCTTACTGAACTAGCAAGGACCTCCAACATGATGTTGAAAGCTATGGCGAGGGCTGGCCAAATAGCTCAGTTGATGAAAGCACCTGAAAGTAGCACAGGGTCCAGGGGCTCCATGCCCAGGCCCACCATGCTGGCCCCTCTCCCAGGACATACCGAAATGGTGATTGACACTGAGTGTGGTGTGCTCGCTTTGGCAGCACATATACTAAAATTGGAATGATGCAGAGAACATTAGCATGGCTCTTGTATAAGGATGACAAGCAAATTCATGAAGCATTCCATGTTTTTTAGGAACCAAAATGACCAGAATTCCACAAATGAGAATGGAATGAACCCATCAACTAAATGGAAAGTGAGAATTTAAGGATTAAACAATGAAGAGAGTACAAGGAGAAAAGCTAGGGAACGTGATAGGGGCAAAACCATATATTTATGTATACAAGATGGATAAGGCAATGGTTCTGAGAATCTCCATCAGGCTTTTGAAGCTAGCCATTAATTGGTAGGATTCTCACCCTGACTAACTATATATGCTGATACATGTGAACTAAGCAACTGCACTAGGATAGCAATGTGTAATACTAGGGCCATTCTTGGATTCTTGTCATTCTGGTCTTCTAAATGTGTACTGCTTCTAATGTCATATCAGTTACTGCTATCCTCTCTCTCAAGTAAATTTTTGTTTAAAAAAAGGTAATAAATGAAAACAAGAGACAAGAAAAAAATGTTATAGGACTGTCCTGTTACGATGTTGTACATGGTTAGATGTCTAAATTTACATGTAAGTATTTGTAATTGTTTATTTCTAATTTTTATTATTTTTTAATTTTTTCACATTCTGTAGGGATTTAAAATTTAGCATATCAATACTGATGGAAAATACATGTTCCAAGTTTTGTCTAAGATGTTTGATATTCAGACAGATAGTGAGGTTAAGCTCACCTGCCTGTGTTATAGGGTAATAATAATAAGCTTCTCTTCTGGAGGGTTAACAGCTTAAGTTTGCAGACCAAAATATTAGAGAAAAAGAAGGGCTACAAGGACAGCCAACATTTTGGCCCTAGCCTTTCAATTTCAGTGAGGACTCAGGATATAGGAGAACCTGTACTGTAACATCCTGTAACTCAGCGGTGTCCCAAATGTTCTGATCAAGGAGATTATGACGCCACAGAGGAAAGTGATTGATGATGTAGAGTGTGCCTAATGAGAGTTACATGCAGAGAAAACCTTCTCTTGGGCTTTCACAGAGGACAAATTTGTCAAGCAATGGCCATGACTCATCCACTTGGCTGACACTGACAAAGTATCTACAAACTGCGGTACAGGGTTTCAGGGTAAATCCTGAGGGAATTTGACTGACCTTATCAGATACAAAAGTTACATTTCTTGATATATAGGTCTTGCTTTATCTTGGTCTTAACCATCCAGCAGAAAAGTATGAAAATGAAGTATAAAAAGTAAAGCCATATTAATATGCTGAACTGTAAATGGCTTAAGTCAACAACTTCAGACATTGCCAGTCTTATGGAAAACCCACTACTATTATGAACTACTAGACTATATTGGGATATTTTGCTGAATTCATGCACCTACAGTATTTAAATGACAATGGAATGCCTTTCTCTGACAAAACTAACCAAAAAAACGGATCTCAATGAACAACCATTTTGTGTCAGTATACTCAATATAGTTAGCATAGATGTACAGCTCTGTTCTCTTAATTCAATGAATAGAGAAGTTTGTTCAAATTGTGTTTGAAGCAAGATATCATGTCTGCATCTTGTACAATGAATAACTACTAAGAAAAATATGCAATGTATTAATTATTGAAAATGTGCTAGTAATTGGTGATGATTTTCTCATTGCTTTTTGTATCTCAATTAAATTAGTTAAAAAATAGCATAGATATACAACTACTTTCTCTTAGTTCAATGAGAAGAAAGATTTGTACTAATAGTGTTTAGACAAGATATCATGTCAGCATCCTGTACTATGAATAATTACTACGAAGACAACATATGCAATGTATTAATTATTGTAACTGTCTTACTAACCTATTTTGAAACTGTCTCATTGCTATTTCTTTCTCAATAAAATTAATAACAATGTTAAAAATAGAAAAAATAAGGTTTATTTAGAAAAAGAGAAATAGAGAGACTGGGTGTGGTGGCCTCTGCCTGTAATCTCAGCATTTGGAAGGCTGTAAACAGGAGAATCACTATGAATTCGATCTAGTACTGAGACCCTGAACACCCTGTAGAGCCTTCCCTAAAATAACAAAATGATGGTGATGATGATGATGATGATGATGATGATGATGATGATGATGAAAAATATGGTGAGAAGGGACACAATTGGTTTCTCTCTGTTCTTTAAAGAAATATTTGAGGTTCTCACCTCTAAGTATGATACTGGCCAGCAGTTCTTTTGATATTCTTTATGAAAATGAAGATGTTTCCTTATATTCAGCTGAGAGTTTACTATGAATGGAATTTGATTTTGCTAAAAATTTTCTTCTGTATCTATCAGTATAATCATACAGTTTTTCTTCATAACCCTACTGATATGCTGAATCTTTCAATTGTTTTTGTGTATTGAACCAGGTAGCTTTACTCACCTGGGATAAATGTCTCATGGTTGTGGC